GATGCCTGTGGCGTCACACAGGGAGTTGAAATTTTATCAAAAGTTTTATTAGAAGATTGATTAGTTGTTGCCGTAACAACTGGGTTCAGCACAACGGATGTTGTTCACCAAGCAGTTTTTGCAGTTCGTGTCTGCAGTTGGCAAATTTCCGGGTTTCTTGGTATTCAACCGTCTTTTACCTCGATTGTTTGAAGGTCGTTCGCTCTTCACCCAGTCGGGTCCAAGCCGTTTGAATAGGGGCAGCTGTTGCACCCCAAAATTTGCTCAACATATTTTACCTGGTTTATGTTCCATTGCATTAGCATATCATTATCCTATCATTTTCATATCATAACATCATTCATCCAATAGGGGATCAAGTGTGTTTTTGTCAAGAGAAGCCTAACAAGAGGTCTTAGCCAAGCTTGAGAAGTCATCCAAGTCATCAGGAGGTGATATGAGGCCTTAAGAGGTTTGAATGCCTCCATGTGGAGTTTTCTCCTAACTTGAGGATCAATTGAAGACCATCAGTGAGATGTGAAGCATGGATTATGAATATAAGATGTGTATAGAGCTCATGGAGTTCCTAGAGGGCCATGTTGGAGCTCAATCAAGTCATTGATTCAAGTGCAAGAGGCACAGTTGGGGTGCAAGCAATTAGGATTTCATCTGGATCAATTCTAGGTCAATTGGACAATTGAAGAGTATCAAAGCCTACTTTGAGGTCATTAAGTTCATGGAATGATGTGATACGACATTTGTAGTGTTGTGCCAAGATCAAATCAAGAAGAATCAAGAGTGTGGGAAGTTGCTAAGTTAGGGTTTCAGTGTAAAATCCCCTGTTTAGTGCCTAACTTCAAGGCCACATAAGTCAAAATAAAATTTTCAAATGGATCTTTGGCCAACATGAAACTTTTAGAGCATATCAATATCTTTAATTTGAGTACTAGAAGTCCTCCATTGGATTTATAGAACTCAAGTTATGGTCCAGACAAGTTACAGGTCCTCAGATGCTTCTGAAATTTATCTGTGAAAGTCACTTGACTTCCAAACAACGTTTGACCTAGAAAGAGGTCTCACATGAACTTTTGTCCAACACGAAAGTTGTTCCTCATGATCTTAGCTTTCTAAATTGTACTAGAAGTCTTCCATCTGATTTGTAGAACTCAAGTTATGAGGTTTACAAGCCAGGGGTATTTTGGGAAAGTGAGATTATAGGTCATTTTCAATCATAGGCCAAAATCTCCAACTTGCAAGCTTCAAATGGAAAATTGCTCAACATGAAAGTTGCTCAAAATATGGTTTTTAGGCTAGTCAAGAGGTCATGAGGGATTTATTGAGCTCATAGCAAGAGTTGGTTTGAAATGGCTTGAAAAGGAAGAAAATTCAAATGATTAAAGGAGGGAAAAATGGGATTTTGTGTTACAAAACCAAAACCAAGCAAATAAGTACATTTTTTGATTGGAAATTGCATTCTAAGATCATTGGCAATACCAGAATTTGGAGTTTAGTTCAAGTTTTGAGAGATAACATATGGTTACTTCACTTGTAAGTTACATATGCAAAATCAATGCACAAGGCAATTCAGGCCAATTTCTCCATCCAAACTCATTCTAAATGACATATGCAAGGTGTTAGAAACTTCTAGAACCAATGCCAAGCTTGCAATGCACGACTGTCATATTGAATTTTGAAGGAAAAATCAGAAAATGCAAATCACTGTTTTGGGCTTCAACTTGGATCCAAAGGCCCATGAAACTCTTCTATATATTCATTAGAGTGAGTTCAGATCAATTTTGAGCATTATTTCGCGCCAGAGCAAGCAAGAGCAAGAAAATTTTCTCAACTACAAGTTGAAATCGAATTCTCAGATTCAGACCAATTCAAGCCAAATTGAGGCGTGCAATCTCTTCCTTGTGGATCATTGAAGCTATCTGGAGCATTTGGAAGCAAGCACGAGCTCTAAGCACCTCTGTTTCAAGATATATACCAGGTTTGCATCTCTTAAAATTCAGCTTGATTTAGCATGATTCAGCTAGTTTTGAACTTGTGGTTAGGATCTAGACATGACATAGATCGTTTTAGGCTTGATTTAAACTCAATTGGTGAGGATTGAAGATGACATAGCTGATCTATTTGGACTTGAATCTCTTGATTCATAAGGTTTTAATGTTAAATGTTTAGATCATGTTGATGTACGCAACGAGATGAAGAGATCTATACCATTAGTTTTGAGTTTAGTGAAAGTGGTTGAGAATGCTATTTCTGAACGTTGCTTCGTGTTTGACTATGTGTTGAGAATTAGATGATTTTGAGGGGAGATTTGGAATGCACGTGAAAAACTGAGTGGATTTGGTATTTTGTTTGTCATTTTTGGTTGCCTGAACTTGGACCTTCGCCGGAGAAGACGACCAGAGTCTTCTCCGGCCACCACCAACCACCATCCCTGATCTCCACTCTGATGACCTGAAATTTGGAGAAGATGACTTCATCATCGTTGGATCATTGCTTGACCTTTGACTATAGCCTAGATCTAACGCACACGACTTAAAGCTGGATTTGAATTTCTGAAGCCAAAACGCAGCGCATCACTTAATGCACTGGCAAGCTGTGGCGCGTCCAGATCCTTGACCAGTCTCCAGATCCCATGGCTCTTGTTTTATTTCAGTTTTATTTCATTTTTATTTCATTTTTATTTCATTTTTATTTCATTTTGTTTTATTTTAATTGCCTTGTTATTCCAAAAATCATAGAAATTCCAATTTTGATCACAAAATTATTTTAAAAATGTCCTCATGATCCTTATGGAATTTGTGATTTTCTGGGATTAATAAAATACAATTTCATGCAATTTTCAATTTAATTTGATTTTTCTCATTTTATTTTGTTATTTATTTTTGCATAATTGGCTATCTGTTTTGCTGAATTTAATTCTCCCAATTGGTTTAGAGTATGGCTTTGATTTTTTAATATGTGTTAGGGTAGACATGTATGTTCCCTTAGAATTTTTCTTGGATTTTTAGAACAATATTAGGATCTGTTTTAGGTATTGAGATTAGGACCTTCCCAAATTTGTGGATTCCCTTGACCTATCTCAATGTAGGAATTGTTTAGATAACTTAGAAGTTGATTTAGGCTTCAATCTTTTTACATTAGGTTGTTCAAAAATTCATGTTCCCCTAGGAATTTTATTAGATTTTTGCAACTTCATTTTCTATTTTAGTTGTATTTTGCAAGTGGCTTGTGTTTATGAATTCCTCACTTGAGTGCTTTGGTTTGTTTGGCTTGGTTGGTTGTCTTGAAGTTGGTTTGAGCTTAAGTTATTTTTTGTTGGAGCTTCTGGATTCATTGAAGATGATTGAGATTGAGGATTGGAGCTTGGTGTTGAAGGTTTTCCTCTTGTGGAGCTTTTGTTTAAGAGCTTAGAGAATTAGGGTTTTAGGAAGTGCCTTAGACCTAGTTTTGATTCTTTCTTCAAACATAAAGTGCATTGTTTGCCCCTATTCTATCCAATGACACAAAGTCCTTCTTAGGAAGCTCCATCTCTCCTTAGGAGGGATGAGTGGTATGCCCAAGTGAGTAGAACTTTGAGGATACCTTTCATTTGCAATGTTGAGTTCTTAGTGATTTCCTTTGGTTGTCATTAAGTTCTTTAACATTATAACTTTATCTTGATGATTAGTCCTCATCTTGGAGTGTGCTTGTTGGAACTTGAAGATTGATGAAGCTTGAAGATAGAAGCTTGTTTGAAGATGAAGTCTTTGCTGTCAACTTTGATGCCTATCCTTCTTTGCTTTTTAGAGTTGTTGTTGCTGTTTGCTGTAGGAGTTTGGTATTGCTGCTTGGGCTGCCTCCCCTGAGTCTTTTGTTTTTCTCTGTATTGTCTGTTGCTGATTACCTCTAGGTTTGAGGTGGAGTTTGTCTCCTCTTGCCAATTGTTTTCTCTCTTACTGTTGCATTGCATGCATTTTACTGTTTACTATAATTGCTTGCTGTCTTTTGCTGTCTATCCCCTAGGATCTCTGATTTCCTCTGTGCAAGAGGAAATTATGACAGACATTAGGTTTTGACCCATGCATGATAATATTAGATTAGTTCCCCTTTCAACCATAGTTTTAGGGTCTTTCTCTTCTCATCTCAAAACAATTCAAAAACACAGTAATAAGGATAACGCGTGCTGTACGCTACGAGCCTTAAGCCATTTGAGAAAAGGTTGCTGGAGGGTCACTCTTCAGTAATCTGGTTGCTTAGTATGGTACCCTTAGGGTGACATGCGTCGTAGTCACTCTCAGATCACAAGTCTTTAGTACAGTACAAGTTTCAAACAGATAAAAAAACACTTCTTTCGTAAAAAAACTCAAACAAACATTCAAACTCTGTTTTTGTCCGCTTGGACCATTAATCAGGAAAACCCTTTCTTAAGGAGATAAAAACTGTCAGACAAGCTTGTGTCTTCCGTAGCTCGAACTATGTTTGCTCTGATCTTTCATGCCATATGAAAGTACGTAGGCATATGATGCGATATCCTAACGAGCAACCTTCCCCTCCTTTCCCGTAGGTAGGCGAACTACGTTGGCTCTGATTTCTCGTTTCAGACGGGAATACGTAGGCATAAAGTGCGATACTTTGCCGAGTCATTTTCTTTTCTTTTTAACCCAGACCTGTAGAGCAGATAGAATAACACACCCTTAGATAGAAAACAAGCATGGATCCCGTCGAGTACGACGGACGTGAGGGGTGCTAATACCTTCCCCCTGCGTAACCGACTCTCGAATCCAGGATTTGGTTGCGATGACCATTCCTTTCCCTTCTTTGCGTTAGGTTTACTCTGAGCGTTTCCTTTCCCTCTTGTAGGATAAATAACGCGCGGTGGCGACTCTTCTGTCATAGCCGGTGCCGATTTTCGCAGTAGCGACAACTGGCTTACAACTATCTATGCATCTAATGAGCTTTAAGAAAGAAGGAGGTCGTGGATGGACATTGAGAAATTAGGAGGAACCCAAAAAGGGCCTTGGAGTCTCATGGGGGATTTCAACAATGTTCTAAACATTAAAGACAAAATTGGTGGGAAACATGTCAAGGAATTTGTGTATATTGACTTGAGTACTTTTATGGAAAATGCATGCATCTTTGAAGTAGAGAGTATAGGTGATAGGTATACTTGGTTTAACAAGCATACTGGTGGTGCTATATACTCTAAAATTGACAGAGTCATTGCAAATATGGATTTGATGCAGCAAACTATTCAGAAAATGGTGCATGTGATGGAGCTTGGAATCTCTGATCACATGTTATTGTGCCTAAAGGGTAATGAGGAAAATAAGAATAAGCACTTTGATTTTAAATTCTTAAATGAAATTGCTGATATGGAATGGTACCATGAGGCAGTGAGAAGGAGCTGGAGACAGAGAACTAGAGGAAATCCTATCAATAGTCTTTGGAAAAAGGTAATGAGACTCCAACCAGTTCTGATAAAGCTTAGAAAACCCCTTGTGGGCATTAAGAAACAAATTGATAAGGCCAAATAATATTTGACTAAGTCATAACAAGAGTTGACTAAGGACATAATGAATGATCAAAAAATCATGCATGTGCAAAGGTGCAATGAGTAGTTAATTCAACTGATTAAAGTGGAATAACAAGTGTTAAGGCAATGTGTAAAGATTGATTGGATCAGATTGGGGGATGGAAATAACTCATATTTCCATGCTTCCTTGAAAAGTAAACAAAAGAAGAATAATATGAGCAAGTCGTGCACAGTTTATGGAATTGTGATTAGTACTCATGAGGCTATTGTTGAAGAGGTGTTGGACTTCTATGGTAAGCTTTTAGGAACAACTAAGCAAAGCCTTGAGGGGATTGCTATTGTGGCCCATAGAAAAGGCAAATAACTTACTATGACACAAATAACTATGCTGATAAAGCCTATGACAACTAGAGAAATTAAAAATGCCCTTAAAAGCATTGGTGAACTAAAGGCTCCTGGAGTTGATGGTTTTGGATGCATATTCTTTAAACATTAGTGGAACATAGTGAAAGAGGATGTTGTGAAAACTGTAATGGATTTCTTTAGTAGGGGAAAGTGGGATGAAAAGTTCAATAGGACCCTGGTAACATTGATTCCCAAACACAATAAAGCTGACACTCTTAGAGATTACAAACCAATCTTTTATTGCACTATAGTGTATAAGATCATATCCAAGGTCATGGCTAGTAGATTGAGTGGAGTGCTGAGTAGTATTATTAGTAGGAATCAAGCTGCTTTTGTTCCAGGCCAAAAGATACATGACCATATTTTGTTGGTTTATGAGTTTATCAAAGGGTACCACAGGACAAGAGGTATGCCAAGGTGTATGAGCCAGCTTGATATTCACAAGGCTTATGATTATGTGGAGTGGCAAGCCTTGCAAAACATCCTGATTGAATTGGGTTTCCCCAGACAGTTCATAAAATGGATAATGCAGAAATTCAAGATAGTAACATATTAATTCAACATTAATGGCATATATTCTAAGGAGATGAAAGCTAGCAGATGCCTCAAGCAATGAGATCCCATATCCCCCTTGCTATTTGTTATCATTATGGAATATTTCCATAGGAAGCTGGATGACTTGAGTACAATCCCTGATTTCAACTATCATGGAAAGTGTAAGAAACTGTAACTTGTTGACATAAGCTTTGCTGATGATATTCTTCTCTTTGCTAGAGGTGACGAGACATCTGTCAAACTGATGATAGAGAGATATCAGGCCTTTTCAAACTTATTTGGTCTCCATGTGAATCGTAACAAGTGCAAGATTTATTGTGGTGAGATGGATAGTAGTAGCAGTAGGCACTTGATTGATACAATAGGGTTTGCTGTTGGTTGTTTACCTTTCAGGTACTCGGGGATCCTTCTTAATAGCAAGAAGCTAACTATGAGCCAATGCATTGCCCTAATGGATAAGACTGAAGCCCGAGTTAAGCATTAGAGTGATCACCTGCTCAGCTACTATGGTAGAATCCAGTTAATCAATAATGTGCTTTTTGGAACCTACAATTATTGGTTACAATGCACCCCTTTGCCCAAAGGAGTAACCAAGATAATAGAAGCAACATGTACAAGTTATTTGTGGTATGACAAGAATAACATCACTATGAGATCCCCTATTTCATGGAAAATAGTGTATGCCCCAAAAAATCAGGGTGGTTTGAATGTGATTGGCATGAATAACTGGAACAAGGCATGCCTCATAAAGCTGTTATGGAGCCTTAGCAAAAAGGAGGACAACATGTGGGTAAAATGGGTGCATATGTACTATGTGAAACATGATGATGTCATGATTGTACCTATCAGAGATAGCTGCTCTTGGATACTTAAAAGTATCCTAAAGCTAAGGGAGAAGGTACAAACAATGTACTAGTGGAAGGAGCTAACATGTAGTGACAAGTTTAAAATAAAGAAGTTCTACTATGGCCTAGTTGAACAACAACAAGATGTAAGCTGGAATAAACTTTTCTTTGATAATGAAGCTTGGCCAAGGGCCTTGTTCGCCACATGGCTTACGTGCAACAATAGATTGGGCACGAAAGATATGCTAGTAAAGACGAAGATGTTAACAAATGAGCAATGCATTTTGTGCAATAAAGTGGAAAGTCTTCAACACCTAATGTTTGAATGCATTTAGTTGAAGCAAATATGGAAGTATGTGTTGGGTTGGCTAAATATTGCGCATGATCCAAAACGGTGAAGCCAAGGGTTGCAATGGATGACACACAATAGCAGAAAGAAGAATTGGAGGGCCAAAATGTTGAAAACAACTTTTGCAGAAGCAATTTATGCTTGTTGAATGTATAGAAATGATAAAGTGTACACAAACAGTGATAGTAATTAAAACATGAGTCATACAAAAATAGGAGAAAGAACTATAAAGTGTATAATCCATAGAATTTGGAGAAACCTAAAATTTAGGGAACATGTGGCTCAATTTATAGTAACATAAGTGGGGGGTTTTGGTTTTCTAGTTGTTTTGAGCTGGACCCTAGGAATGGCTATGATTTGTAATTGTTTTTGAATATATATAATTTTCTATTTAAAAAAAGAAAGATATTATAGGAATTGTATTGGGCCGGGTTAGAACCAATGGGCTTCTGGTTCAACTTCATGGAGATCCTACAAGAACCTACTAGTAACATTAGCCGCAAGCAAACCTATATCCATCCACATTAAATTAATTTAATTAATAATTAAAATTATTATTATATATAAAGTCCTCGTTTCTATAACGGCTCTGTAGTCTCTGTTCAGTCCTCATTCTACCTAAACCATAAACCCTAGCCGTCTTCCATCGTCTTCGTTCTTTTCTCAATCAACAATGGTACCAATTTATTTCTCTTTTTGATCTTCGTTTATCTCTTATTTCCCTTCGTTTATCGCTTGATTCGATTCCATGTTTATCGATTACTGATTCATACTCATTTTTGTATACGAAAATTTTCAGACAGGAAATGCAGTAAACCCTAAAGCATACCCTTTGGCTGATGCAGTAAACCCTAAAGCATACCCTTTGGCTGATGCGCAGCTTACAATAACGATTATGGATCTTGTTCAACAAGCTGCGAACTACAAGCAACTCAAGAAGGGAGCAAATGAAGGTAACCCTAATTTGTAATTCGTTTTTTTTTTTGTTTCATTTCTTTGTTTTCTTTTGTTATTGATTTTGTTTTTTTTGTTGGATTGTAGCGACGAAGACCTTGAATAGAGGTATTTCTGAGTTTGTTGTTATGGCTGCTGATGCTGAGCCTCTTGAGATTCTTCTCCATCTTCCTCTTCTTGCTGAGGATAAGGTATCATATTATGTTATTATTAATCTTTATATCTTTTTATTTATTTATTTTATTAACATATAGTGTAATATCATGTTTTGTTGATTAAGTCTCGTGTATCTATTAAAATTAATAGGATATACACTCAGATCTTATGCTTTGTGGTTGTTTTAGGCAGTAGCCTTTACAGAAATATATTAATTTATTGTTTTCACAATTACAGATTCTTATAATGTGGCAGTAAGTTTTTAGATGTTTCATGTACTGTATTGTTGTTATATACTGATACAGAAAGTGCCTACATGTTATGCTCTTCCCTAAACCTACTAAACACCATATTCGTTCAACCATATGTATGCATTCAGTGATTAATTATATAGACGAGGTTTAAATTGCCGTCATGTTGCAATCTTTCACACTGCAGAGTCCAATACGGCTGTAGTTTTATATTCTGCTGACCCTCCGACTATTAAAATTATGGCTTTACAGAATTTTCTTTGTAGCAGAATATACTTTTTTTTTTGCTTATTGCTATGTAATCAGTTGCACTGTAATGTCCTGGCTGTGAAGTTTACTGCTCATTCATTTGTGTATGTTTCCCTGGAGTTTCGTAAGGACTGATACGATTGTTGTAGCTAACTCATAAACCAATTAGGAGTGGGATCAATCATGTCTACTAGTAATATTGTTCTGCAAATTTGTGGTAATAGTAGAAGTTTTTTTTGGCTTTACCAATCTTGTATGTTGCAATTTGTAAAATATAATGATGTTTGTCTGTCAACAATTCAAGCTGATTCATTTTATTTTGATCCTGTTCTGATTTATGTCTATCAGCAATGTCTAGCTTGTTAATCTTGTACAATTATCTGTTTGTAATTTTTAGAATGTTCCCTACGTGTTTGTCACATCAAAACAAGCACTTGGGCGTGCTTGTGGAGTAACTCGACCAGTGATTGCTTGTTCTGTTACAACTAATGAAGGAAGTCAATTGAAATCCCAAATTCAGCAACTCAAGGTATGTCATGTGCTCCACATTATTGGTTTTCATGTAGCCAACGAAAATGTTCATGGTTCTGTGATCTATTAATTTAAAATGTATACTGAATATTTGGTTGGTATGCAGGATGCTATTGAGAAGTTGCTAATCTGAAAACTTCATATTCCGAATGATGGTATGATGGGCTTCTTGAGTTGTGCTGAAAGCGCCTTCAGAGGCTTTGACTGGACGACTTGTTGTACTATCCTATATACACTTTGTTAACCTACTTTAATTTTTCTTTCTACTGCGAAAGCTTGTTTTTGTATGGTATTTTGGTTCTAGTATGTGTTATGTTTTGAACTGGTTTTATAAAAATTGCTTAGTGATCCTTGGATGAGTAGAATTTTCAGTTTAATATCAAAAATGGGTTTAGTGCAATTTTATCATATAATATAATTTTACTTCGGTTATTAGAGAACTACTGCATGAGTGTTTAAACTTTTTTTTATTAAAATTTGAAAAGGAAAAACTAAATGTTAAGAAATTTATATCGTTTTCTTTTTAATTAAAACAGTATACAATTTTTTGGATTAGAGTCCTCAGTGAGGTACCTCTACTTGAAATGTTAGCCTATCATTTACACTTATATAATTTACACTTGAAAAGGAATAATTTGTTTGTAAGCAATGTTTCCTATTGTTCTTTTGTAAATAGTTCATCCATAGTTGATGTATGAAAAAAAAAAAGACTAATCGGCTTGTATAGAAATGCTCTTATTAAAGCATATGTTTAAGCCATTGAATTATTTTGGAGCCTTTTTTTTTTCTTTTCAATTCTTCATTGTGCCATGATTAACGAAGTGTTTAGACTACCCTCGCTGCTTAGAAAAAAAATAGGGCTATTGAGAGTTGATTGCTCTTTTTAATAGAAAATCTTATTTAATTTAAAGTGACATTAACTTATTGGCTAATGTATATGTATCTAACCATGCTTTTCATGGTATTAGAGTTTTCACCCAAAAGGAATAATTGTATAGAATTTTTCAAGGCTCACTATGCATTTTTTAGATACCATGTAGATTTTCTACAATGTTTTTTTTCTTCCAGA